GATCTAAAATAAGGTATGTAATGAAAATGGAAATGGAATACTTATGAAGGGGGGGGGGGGCTGGGAAGGCAAAATATAAGCAGATTAATACAGTTTTAACAAGCAGACCAATACCTTAAACCTTTACATATGCTAAGAACAACAGTAGAGTTAGCATTATCCTTTATATGTCCCTGGTAGTGGCAGTGATCCTGCAAAAAAAAAAAGAAGATACATAGACAAACAGACAGACAGACGCATGCAAAATGGATAACATTTGGCAAACACTGATTCACCAACTAGCTTCTTTTATCAGCCTTGTCCTCTTATAGCAAATCCTGTTCTTGAATCCGCTTTGATCTTGCTCCCACCCTGCCCCCCCCTAAAAAAAAAAAAACATACTCACCTTTCCTTTGCTTCCTTGCTGTTCCTCCATTTTTGGGTGTGGAGAAGCATGTCATCATCAGGGAAGCTGGAACAGTCTTCATTTTGGCCCTCTGTCATACCACTTTTGTGTCTTAGGCCATGTCCTGGGATTACGGTATCAAATTTATCTGAGTTACTGCACATGTCCAGTAACGCAAAGAGGCACTAATTGCTGGGATCAGGGCCCCAAGGCAGGGTCTGGGAGGGATCAACCAATAAAGTGGATGTAACGGATTGGTCCCCGCATATTTAGACTCGAAGAATGAATGGGACCACCTATGTCAGTGCCCCATCAGGAAAGTGGGCAGACAAAATGTGGACCTCGGGTGGGGTTAACAGTGTCCCGGAATCCAGTCTGCTTCTTTAATACCTATGTACTAGGATTGCCACCCGTCCGGTTTTCACCCGGGCAGTACGGTTTTGGAGTTTTGTGTCCGGGTGTCCAGCAAGTGGGCACCCGGACACAAGACACTCAGTGCCGACACCGGCACTTTACATTTTCTGAGAGATGCGGCTGCCAAGGTCCTCGGCATGCAAGATCTCGAGCAGCCGCAACGGCCTGAATCCGGATCTTCCTCTGAGCTGCGGGCAGCCTGTGCCTGTTTACAGGTACCTGCAGCTCAGAGGAAGAGATTGAGGCTGTTTGAGATTTCCCTTGGTGAGGACCTCGGCAGCCGCATCTGTGATTCCCTTCTCCTCCTCCGGCTCCCTGACACCGTGCTGTCTGCCTGCGGAACCCTGGTGAGACACCATAGCTCAGATAGCCCTGATAGTCGCACAGCCCACCCGAGAGTCACATAGCTCACCTGAGTGTCGCACAGCCCACCTGAGAGTCACACAGCCCACCTGAGAACTGCACAGCCCACCGGAGAGTTGGTAACCCCCACATGAGAGTCGCTCAGCCCACCTAAGAGACGCACAGCCCACCTAAGAGCTGCACAGCCCATCTGCGTGCCCGCACAGGCCACCTGGAGACATCAGGGCGCCAACCCAGAACAAAAAACAGTATGTAGCATCATATTATTTTGTATTGCTGTATAATGTATTGCTGGAATTTGTAGTCCTCTTCCCCTGGCTGCCTCTCCTCTATATTCTAACGGTGCTAGAGTGTTCGGGTTTCATTTGAAGAAAAGGTGGCAACCCTACTATGTACGTCTAAGCTGACATGCGCTTTGTACCTGATGTCTGGGACTGCTGGTTACAAGAGTTCCATCTTCTTTGTAATGACTTTCGGTGTAGTTGTCAGCAAACAGGCCTCTACAAGTCATATAATACACACATAGAAAGCATTACGGATGAACTAAACTGAGGACAATTCTCTGCAAATATGAAATAAATAATATGATAACCCAGTTTTTAAACGGGTCAGCTCATATACAGTACTTTGCATAGATATTTTGTACTCAACAAAAAGGTACTTTTATTGGACTATAAATCAGATTTGTGAAAACGACAACAATCGGTAAACATAACATAATCAGATACAAGGAACATTAGCAGGATTAACATATACAGGGTTATTCACAAAAGGGGGAAGAGTTTGGAGAAGGCCGGAGAAGTGAACAATCTAGGACAACATAACTGAACTGGAAAGTGAGCTGAATTGGTGAGATTTTTCAAATCGGCGATTTTGTCCTAGATTGTTCACTCCTCCAAACTCCTCACCCTTTTGTGAATAACCCTGATCTATTGTGCTTACTTAGGCAAAGACAACAAAGAACGGGACAGATCTAAAAACCATAGAGAGTAGAGACCTGAAAACCAGCTTCAGAGAGTTCTGAACTCATAATGCTGCAGATGTGGTGCAAGTTTTGCACATACATATCAATCAGTGGCAGACCTAACACCGGGGCCTGAGCCTGGGGGGGCCCAGCACAGTCCCTGTCAAAGATGGTGGGGCCGCAGGATACGGAAGATGAATCCGATGCTATCCGTGGGGGGACCGCCGGATGCTGATCTCAAAGTCTAACACTCCCGGCGCTGAAATGGGGGGGGGGGGGGCACTCGCCCGCCGGATACCGAACTGGGGAAAATAGAATGTGGCCCGCCGGCCGCTGTGAGGATGGAGCAAGGGAACAAGAACTGAAGAAACAGGAAACAGCTGAAGTTAAAGACCAGCCAGAAGAGGTAAGGGTAAATAATTAATTACAATAATTATTATTTGTAGCCTAATGTTGTATAAAGTAGTTCTTTATACAACATTAGGCTACAAATAATAATTATTAAAAGTACTGCTGGTATTTGTAGTGCTCTATAGCAGGTGCCATTCTGCATTGCAGCAATGTAGAATGGGCCCCCCTATAGAGGACCACAAATCTCAGCAGTACTTTATACAGAAATGCTATTGTTGTATAAAGTATTGCTGGGATGTGTAGTCCTCTATAGCCTGTGCCATTTTGCATTGCTGTAAATATTAACTTTATTTTTCTGTTGTTGCTTCATTGGGTGTGGATAGGGCAAGAATATGACAGAGCAATATATTGATCCACCAAACACCAGAAGGAAAAAAACCGATGAGGAGTTCTTTAAGTGCTTCCATCATTCTGCCACATTCTTTGGCAAAAGTATAGGGTATGCTGGTCCCAAGTCCTGCAACAATTACTCTTATGGAAGATCAGGTGCTAAACGTAAGCATGGCCTCTTCCAATGCACCACAGACTGCACAAATTGGAAGCAAAAGACCAGCTGCACGCCAAAGAAAATTCAGACACTGGTAAATGGTAATCATGAACAGAGAGTGCTACCTGAGACCTTCTCCACTGATGCGTTTCACCTACAAGGTTGGGCTTAATTGTAGACGTCAAATGCGTCAGTGGAGGCGGTTCCAGGTGGGGGCTCTCTGTTTAGGTTGCCCGGATGAATACATTGACAAGCATTTGATTTTTCTTTGGAGTGCATCCAGTCTTTTCCTTTGGATTAGACACCTTTTTTTAAAAAATGGAAAACCTGAAATCCCAAGATGCACTTATTTTTCTTCTCTTTGTACAGAGGGATGTTGGGGGTTTTGTTTTAAAGGAGAATTATGAGGCGAGTGATTTTCAGTCAGCCGACCTGTGACAATGAAACTGTCACAGGTCGGCTCAGTAGATTGGGAAGTAAGCGAACACATACCATCGCTCGCTCACTTCTCGATCTATCCCTGCAGAGAGCGGTGACTGTCACTCATGGCTCCATGCAGGGATTCCCCCCTCCCCTGTCCGATCCTCCAGCGCTGACTGGCGAAACGGACGGGGGAGGGGGCGGGCACAGCTGACTCTGCTTCTGGATAGGCAGATCCAGCTGTCAATCCCGCAGCTGGGTGGATCCAAACAGAATTGTCGGGATCCGTCCCGGCTGCGGCGTCTCAGTATACAGCTCGCGGTATACTGAGCTTTGGGTAACGGAGGACGCTAGTTTGGGTTCTCCCGTGACCCTTAGGAGAACTATGGGGAAAAGCCCTGACCCCCTAGTTCTCCTTTAAAGGAAAACAGTCTTGCACTTGCTCTAAATAGAGATGTTTTTTCTTCAGCTCCATCATGTGGCTGATTTTGATATTGCAGGTAAGTAAATCGAACCATTTCTTATGAGAACACCTCCTGTTAGCATGTGTTTATATATGATAACCTGGAACTTCACTTGGATTTTTTAATGTCATTATCGAGTCGAATGTGAGTTCAACTCGAACATCGCTGGTTCGTGTGTTCGCCAAACACACGAACTATAAGGGTGTTTGGCGGCCTGTTCGACCATTGAACGCCCCACAAGGCAATTCGCCTTGTGAAGCCCTAATTGGCCACAGGTCAGGTGCAAGACTTTGCTCAATCAAGGCTCAGTACTCTGTAAGAGCCATGATTGGGCAAAGTCATGATGACTTTGCCCAATCATGGCTCACCTGTCAGATGACGTAAAACTACAACAGTTGGACGGAGCTAGGTGTCACTGCTAGCTCTGCCCAATTGTTTATGTTTTGCTGGCATCTGTCAAAATGCCATTATGCGGCAGGTGTTCGTCGCGAGCGGACGGGACAGTTTCGTCGTTTAAAAAAAAATATTTATTTTTATTTTTTATTGTTTTATTTTTTATTTCATCGAGTCATCGTGGACAACGCTGGACGTCGTCATTGACCCTGGATTACGTTGGTGAATCCATTTTTTTTTTTTGGGGGGGGGGGGTGTTAACAATAAAGGACTTATCAAAATCCTTTGTTGTGTTTTTTTTTTTCTTCAATTAAAGGATTTTTCCCCAAAGTCTGTTTTTTCTATTTACATTTTTTTACCCTGATGTGAATAAGCCCCCTGTCCGCACCCCCACAGCCAACGCCCCAGGGCTTGTGGGGAAGAGGCCCTTGTCCCCATCAGCACGCGGACAATGTGCTTTTCCAGGGGCGACCCTGAAAAGCACCCTCTCAGTGCTGAGGGCATGTGGAGCTGTGTGTTTGTGTGGAGGGGGCGCTCGCTCCCCCCCCCCCTTTCCAGCCCTGTCAGGCCTGTGCTCGGATAAAGGGTCTGGTATGGAATTTTAGGGGGAACCCACTTTTTTCACCATTTTTGGGGGTGGGATTCCTCCTTATAACTCCTACCAGTCCTTAAGGGCCTGGTATGACTTTAAAGGGGGACGCCACACACTTTTTTTTCTTTTTTTTACATGGGGTCCCTCCTCAATATTCCTACCAGACCTTAAGGGTCTGGTATGACTTTTGGGGGGAACCCCACGGGTTTTTTTTATTTTAAATTTTTAAATGGGGTCCCTCCTAACATTCCTACCAGGCCTGTCCACTCACCACTAGTCATTATAAGCAGGTATGTAGTTTAAAATATTATAATCTTAGAGCAAATGTAACTCATCTGAAATCTCCTACAGCTACTTACACGCTCTTCTCAATCTGAATCACTGTGAAGTGTCCATTCAGCTTAAATTCATAGTAAACTATGTCTGGATAGGTGCTCTGAGGAAATACACAGATAGCATAGAATGGTGATTCTCATACATTTTCCCCTAGCTCTTACTTTCTTGATATAGCTGATACTCGAGCTTCACATATATTATACATCATCGGCGAACTATAAAAGGTGCACCAAACTATAAAAAGTATTATAAGCTTGTATAAGAGACCTCACAGATGGGACCTGCCTCATGATTTAAAGTATTATTAAACACAGTTAAATAAAGCTTTTATTACACAGGTACAGATAGGGATTTATTAATAAAAGTCTGGGTAAATGCCATTCATATGGCACTAGTGCCCCTAGATGGTGATGACAAGTATACACATTCCCTATACTCGTCAGGGGCGCCGGTGCTGTGCCAATGGCATCCTGCAGGCTATACACCAGAAGGAACTTTTCTAAATGAACACCTTACATTTTCTCCTGTGTGCATTAATTTTGTGTTTTTTAGAACTCATTGACTTCCTTTTCTCCAGTGACTCCTTTCATTGCCAGGCTTTCATGGAGCCACAGCCACCCCGGACTACAGTAATGTGTTCAGCTGCTCTGTGCATCAACACGCCCTAGGCAAAAGCAGCCCCTCTTGCAGTGCCGCATCCGGGTAGTGCCCTGAATGACAGGAATCAATGACATTTAAAAAAAAAAAACGTTTTTAAAGGAACAGAAGTATGATATATACAGAATAAATCTATATCTATATTGATATATATATAGAACTCTGATATATATATATCTATAGAAC